GGAAATTGAGCACGAGAACGGGGGCCCAGTTCGCGAAGGCATTGAAGACAAGCGGGATCTGTCGATGCCGGGGTGATAAAGTCATTGGCTTGTTTCTTTCATCTGAGTCCACATTTCACTGGTGGACAGAAGGGTCCCTCCATCCGGGATCTTGCGCTGCTGGTTGTGCCGGGGATGCGGACAACTCGGGGCGCCCGGACTACCATTCGACGAGTCATGTGGCGATTCTGTGCGCGATCGTCTTCCATTACTCGACGACGCAGAAGTTGCGCGTTCACTCAAGTGGGCGGTGGCCTTCCCCGCTACTTCTGAGCCGGGGCGATGGGTCCGAGCCATCCTCCTCGAGGAGAGCCTTCACGGAGGCGCTGAACTTGGGTTCCGGGACTTCGTCATCGGAGCTATCGCCAGCCGAGTACCGTTTCGATGACGGCGCCGCATTGCTTCGAAATGCAAGTGTCTTGCGCAGTTCTGGAGAGGGGCGGTTGGAGCCGGTGCGGGACACTGCGGCGCGAGACATTTGTCGGGTCGATGGACGTCGGTGCAGGCCACTCGTATACGCCGTCGAGAGAGAATTGGGGGAGGCCATGATGAAGGCCGGATAATCTCACATGAACGTGTCGGCCAGTTCGTCCGTCCGGGGCCCAGGTGGTGAGCCGGTTGTAGTCGGCGTTGTGCTTGTTGATATGCAAGTAAGTAGTTTGATAGCCGGAAATGCACAAGAGTCAACATCGCGGGAGGCTGGGAATCGCGGGTGGTGTCACGTGAAACACTCGTTGCCAGGGTGATCTGACATCACAACAATGACCGGTGTTCTATTCCACCGCCTTTGATATCGAAGACGATTAACATGCCCTTGGGTTATTTCTGATACTTAATTAGTATCCTAGTACAGTTGAATAGGCTTGTAGAACGCTGTTTATCGTTGCGGCATTGTCAGACATCGACGTCATACATTTAAGGTCGAAGCTCGCAACTATATATCGTGATGCTGCGGAACAACGTATCTACGGGTATTCCAAGCAATATATTGGGACTCCTCCCTACTACATCTGGAGAAAATAAATTAGCACACCGACCTGGTATTTAGGATAATTGAATTTACATTGGCCAGAGAGCTATACGGTCATAGTTGATACTCAATGGCCAGAAGTCTACTCTACCTTTGGGAGCTACCTCTACTAGCTTTGACTTCGATACTTCCAATTGATGCTTCACAAGGAATTTATGTTCTACAGCTATCTCTACACATCTTGGATGCCGATTTATACGTAGTGTGCCTGTGATATAGACCCTATACCATTTGTTATCGTGTCGGTAGGTATATATGCCCCGGGTATTGTATGCTCCGGAGCACAGGACGAGACCAATTCTTCATACAATGACATACTCAGAAAGTATACTAGTACCTAACAAAAAAGGATGACATGCCTGACTACACACTCAGGAAATTCCCCTGTCGTTGAGCTGTGTTGATGGCAATATGGAGTACTAATCATGAGTGTCAATGTCACCTGACCACCGAGTGACAAAACAGGAGAAAAACTCACCACACTCACCACCTCAACTTCTCCGACTCTCTCACATGAGATGCATAACTACATACCTCATTTATGGCCATCTGATCCTTGATCCCGCCAATGAAACCCGTCCTCGATATTATGGCCTGAGACATGACCAACTCTAAAATTTCCGATGGGTCTCTTCGTTCTTCGTCCTCTTCCGGCCTGCTCCGTCCGCCGACGACACGAACCTCAAAATAGCGAGATGGAGGCCATCCAGCACAAGAAGCTTTTCACTGGTGAAACGATCGGTCTGATCCTTTGGCTGATTCGAGAGAAGAGCATGACGGCATCTTTACTCTGCACCCTGTCCCCTTCGCTCTCGCCCAGCAGAACCCCCTGATGGTTCCATCGGTTAGACCATCCTAGTGGAGCATCAAACACAGGAACCAAGGTATCAATCTAGGAACAGGAACGCCTTGTTTCGGCAATGATCTGAGGGCCCCTCTTGCATGGGTTCCTCCGCAGTAAACTTTTCCATCTCAAAATTTTCTTCTTTTCTGTTTCATCGCGTCGCAGCCAGGCTCCATCGGATGCGAACATCTCCCACAATGGAAACGCTCACGGAGAATGAGCCTCCCTTGGCATCTCTGCTCGATCGTTCGAGGCTGTTGCCCAACCCCTGGGGTTGTACTGCAAGACGAGCTACGGAATACGGAGCACTAGCGTCCACTTTGGCCCTGACTAACCGTTGACTAGCGAGTCTAGTTCTACGCAGTCTCAATAATCAATCATACAACGCCCGATTCTTCCCCTTTTCAACAGGGGCTGGGCTGGCCCTCATGCAATCGTCCGTACTTTATCATGGGGAACTATACCGTACTAGTCCTATCCCTATGAGGTGTCAGCGAGCGTTAGGTTCCCCTACACGGTCAACACGCCTAGCTACGCCTCCTGCTCCATACT